ACAAGCCTAAAACCTAGACACTCAAAACTTGCTGCCTATCTTTGGGAGAGACTTTAAGTCTACAGGCAGGTAATTTTCCGACATGGTTGTTCTGGGATGGCATGGTTGTTTATGGTTATGCCATAAACAAAAAAAAATTGTCTATTTCACCTATTTCATGCCTAAGGCTGATAGGGATGCAAAATCAAAATCATACCAGTGCAAATCAAGCCTGTAGGGCCTGATTTGATATGCACTCTAAAATGCCACATTGGATCATGCACGAATAGTGGTGCCTCTAGTCTTTTTGAATAGCATTAGGTACACTGGAATGAAATCTACAGAAGCCAGCACACTGAGTTGGAGCTGCCTAAACTAAGATGATAGGAAATACTGAATGGGTCAGACAGAAAGCATGTAAAATGAATGATAAGTCATGTACGTTATACAATGTAGGTACTATCAACAGAATAGTTCAGTGTTTACAGCAGTAAAACTCTTACTATGTTTTGATACTGTCTGCACGATCTCAATACTGTTTTTTGTTCTATGGACCTTCTTGGTATAGACTGTGTGGTTCCAAATAAAATGGGAGAAACACAAAAAAAGCATCCTCCCAAATGATTATTAAAAGTAGAAATGAAGGATTTGCTATACTAGAGAAGACCAGTGATCAATTTAATCCTACACTCGTGCTGTAATCAATAGATTAATTAATGTTATACATGTTTATACTTATATATTCTATGTAAGTGTTTTAACCTATATAAATTCTGAACTGGCTTTTGTGATAATGAGGGGTGGTAGGATAATTGTGCTCTATGGTGGGGATCCATTTTTGATTTGACACCTTTTGATGTCTCTGTGTTCTGCATTCTTCCATACACCATTAATTATTTTAATATCATTCTTCTGTTTACATCCCCTTCAAGTAAGCAATCCCACTTTTTCCAATTCTTTTCATACGAATGCTCGCTCATGATCTTTACTACTTTCAGCATCTACCTCTGAACTCCCCCTAACTCTGTTACAGTCTTTTGGAGGTAATGTGACAAACAGAATATTGTATTCCTGAGAAGAGGTATCACAGCTGTTAAGAGCAATATATTCTGTACTTTCCATGCTGTTCATAATGTATCCCAGCATTTTTTTTTACTGTTTTCACTGTTGCTGTTCATTGTGTTGAATATTTTTCCTGACTCTCTTTACAGAATAGGCATACCTGCTTTAAACTGTTCTCTCAAATATATATGCTACTTTGAATTTGTCAACATCAATTTTAAGTTGTAACCACACTGCCCATACACTGTACTTGATTATAGTTTCATAGTTTCTAGGGTTGGAAGGGACCTGAGCGGATCATCAAGTCTGACCCCCTGCCATGGGCAGGAAAGGATGCTGGGGTCAAACGACCACAGCAAGGTGTACATCCAGGCTCCTTTTAAAGACCTCCAGAGTAGGAGCCAGCACCAGACCCTTTTGAAAATTTCCCACAACCTTGTCAAGTCTTGACTAACTTGAAAAATCATCTGCATATTTTGCCATCTCTCACTGCCCCTTTTCCGAGCCCGTAACAAATATATTAAATAACTGCTAAGCAGTGTGTCAAATTCTGATTTCAGTCATGATATAAATCTAGCAATTTCATTATCAGTAACTCCAGTGGAAATGCTCCAGATCTACACTAATGTCACTGATAATAATTAGGCCTCCCTAAAGAGACAACAATAAGTGACCCCAAATCCATGCTAAGCAGCTGATTTTTTTAAAGGATATAGTACTGTCACTTTCCATCTTACATGAGAAATGTCAATCAGGAACAGCTCTTTAACTTAATTGAACATAAAACTGAAATTTAGCTTAAAGAAAAAATGGAATAGGTAACTTGCTACAGCTGTGTGAATAAACTACTAAAGTACATAATTTCATCATTGATTTAGCACTTTTCTGAAATCAACCAATTCACTTCAGTAAAATTTGCTGTTTAAAGTTTTAAATGTTATTAAAAGTTATTTTGAGAGATTTTTTTTCACTCAAAATCTGCATTACCATGTTGCACTAGAAAACGCATTTTCTTTTTGCTATAACTTTCAGTAGAGATGCTCTGGAAGTGGTTCCTAGAAGTAATAATTTCCCACATTGTTCCATAGGGGTTTTTTTCCCCCTACTACTGTCTTAATTCTAGTATAGCTGTGTTCTCTAAAATATACTGTGTACAGAAGTTACTAAAGCAAAACTTAAAAAGATCTTTAAAAGTGTAAGGTTTACAAACATGTATTACATGTTAAAGTAACTTTGGTGGCATCAAATGGAAACAGATTATGGCAGATATCCAAACTTCTCTGCAGAAGAATAGTTACAGTGGGGAACAATTAAGCCCAGCAGTTAAATCTTTTACTTAAATTTCTTTGGACAATTAGGGAATATATTCAGCTTACAAAATCTTACTGTCAAAATGACTGAGGAACTTAAATTGAGGATCTTATATGGGACTGATGGACATAAATTATGTGATTCAAACAAAGCTTAAATAGTGTATTTTATTCTGGGGGTATTACATAGCTCTAAAACTAATTTTTTCTTGACTAAAAAAGTTTAAATGTATATGAAAAAAGATTTAATAGTGAAGTTAAAAATGTTGTAATAGATATAATTCATATGCTTAAAAGTAAGGACAGTCTAAGAAATTTTCCCAAATCATTGGATGACACTGATTCAAAGATGAAGTTTTGCTATTCATCACTTATTTCTATACAACAGCCTGATTACAAGTTGTTTTCTTTTTTTAAACAATGATCAGCTTTCAAAACTTAACCTAGATTTCACTTTACACTAGCATGCCTGCATTAATAGCATGCAGAACTAAAGTTATTTGTTTGAAGTCAGCCATTTTACATCATATTTATCAAATAATAGTTTGTCAGTATTGTCGGCAGATTGTGTAATGTAAGTCTTCAGCTGTAAGGGCTAACTTCCACCAGCAGGGGAGAGACATTGAAAAACAGGATAGCATAACACATTTCCATTAATACCAACAGTTTTTGTAAAAGAAATGCATGTAGTCAGAGTATATAGTAATGAAAGCAACAAAGGTGGAACACAAAGAGGTGTTTAAATACTTTGATATTTAAATCCTATACATGGACTTATAAGAACTTTGAAAATGACTGTGTACATTTAAATAATCAGCTAAGCAGCCGATTTAGAGAGTGCAGAAGTAATTGGTTCATCAATGATGTAAAGTATGAACAAACGTCTTCCCAAACTAAAAAGTTAACAACAATCTACAAAGTGATTAAAACAGCACTGGTCATAAATAATTTGTTCCTATTAGTTCTGAAAAACACCTACATCTTCCTCTTTGGTAGAGTATCAAAGTTTACAAAAGAAGGCTATTGTTTAGGAATAAGAAACGGTTGATACAGCTTCCCATCTGAAAGAAGACAGACCAGGAAGATTTAAATTAGTATTTGAATGGTGTTTCCCCCCAACAAGCAAAATTTAGTTCTAATTTTTTTTCTAAAACTGAACAAAAGCCCATTTGTTAGGGAAGTATTTGTCCAGGAAATAATAAGGGGCCAGACCAGATTACATGAAAGGAAAAAAAAATGTATTCATGGAAAAATGCAATGAACTAGAGTCACTCCACTGAATTCCTGATGATAATGCATTTTTAAAGCAAGAAATTAAACCAGACTGACAACTGATAGTGATAAGAAATCTTGATGGGTAGGCATACCCGGAGAACAAAACTACTTCAACACACCTACATTCAAGCAGAAATCACAACACACAAAAAAGCATGTAAATGCCTTCTAAATATGAAGTTGAGATGGCAAAAGGGATTATTTGGGTACTAAACTAGGGACATATTAAAAGGATACCATTTTCTGAATGTGGTGAGAATCTGCCACTTGGGGTGAAACAACAACAGTTAAAAAGCCTGCATGCGCACACAAGGCCATGTGAAGCAGACAAAAATTGAGGCATTTAGATTGTCTATGATTGATTTTTGAAAAAATGAATTGCTATGTATATTAAAGTGTAAGTATGTATAAATTTTACTACATACACACAATCTCTTTCTTGAGCAGAGTAAGATGTGTTTATTTTAAAAAGTCACAAAGGTAAGAAAAATCTGTACAAAAAGGTACAATACATGCATGCAAATTGATGAAATATATCAAGTTTTCATAAGCTGTTAAGGGATTAAAACAAATTACTAATCATATTAATTAAAAATAAGGGTTTTGTTGTGCTGTTTTAAAATTTTAACAATTGCAATCTGAAGAGGTAAAATCATTCCATGGCTTTTTTTCTAATGCAGACAGAAATAGCCCATAAAAACTGCAATGAATAACAGAGTGAACGAACATGTCAGTGTATCTGGTTAAAAAGAATGTAATTTGACAAAAACATAAAAAATAAAAAAAAGACTATTGTGGAGGACAGCATTTAAGGCTCTGAAAATTCATAGATGTATTTTTTTTCTGTTCAGGAAAAGAAAAACTCTCTCCATTGCATTTAAGTATAACGTGCAGTGAAAACATTCCTGAAAAAATAACAGAGTATTAAAAACAAAACAAAACACCTTAATGTACATCACCAAACAGAAATAATTTAAAATCTTTCCCTGAAGCAAATGCAACTTTCACATAAAAGTAATCTGTTGATCTTATTGCATGAGGAACCTGAATTTGAACGTACAACAGCACAAGTATGTCTTACGTTTATATATTTATTAGATATTGTTTTTGTTACTATTGTGCCTAGGCCAGAGTCATGGATTGGTGCCCTGTTGTGCTAGATATTGTACAATAACAAAGAATCCTTATTTCTACAATCAAAAAACCAAGAAAGCTTTGGTACTGTTTTACTCTAAATCAGAAAAGTTGTTACTGGCTGTCAAAAGACCAGGAATGTTACAGTGTATCTAGGATACTTCCTCTTCTGGATCAAAATCTTTTGGGGTTTAATTGTCAGAGTACCTGACTTACAGGTACAATTACATCATATGTTAGGCATACTTTGTAATACTCAGATGTCACTGGAAAATTAAAATGTTAATTCACGTAGTCCTTAGGTGTCAACACTGCTTAACGCATGGAAAAACACACCACATTTCTAGAAAAAATGAACAATTTTATTTTCATAATTTTTATTGAGTAATAAAGGCGATTAGAAAACTATTATAAATATTGAAACACTGCTATAGAACCTATGGTTAAAAGGTAGGACAGTTACTGTTATAAGAAAACAATAAAAGGGAGACACATACTTGGAAAAAAATACCAGGCAAAGGCTAGTTCCTTGAGAAATGGATCAGCTCTACTACATACAGTATGCATATTTTTAGTACTTGGAAAAATATTAAAGAATTTTTAAGGATGCTGACAACCTGATCACATTACAGCACCACACATCAGGTTGTAGTATTTAAGAATGTAAGAACTGCCGTTTAATAGGTTAGACCATGGGCCCATCTTGCCCAGTGTCCTGTGTCACACAGGGGCAGAGTGGATGCTGAAAGGGAGACGGAACTGGTATGACCAGGGATTTTTTCCTCACTTGCAGCCTCCAGCATTTAAGGTTCGACTCAGAGGCTGTACCCCTCACTCCCATGCTCAATAGTTGCTGATGTACCATTCCTCCAAAAATGAGTGCAATCCCTTTCTGAATCTAGCTCAACTGTCAACTTCCACAACATCTGGTGGCAGAGTGCCATACTTTAGTAACATGCTGTGTGACAAAGAACTTCCTTTTATTAGTTTTAAACTTACTACCTACTAATTTCATTTTATGACTCTGAGTTCGTGTGTTGTGAGAGAGTAAATAATAAATCCCTATTTGCTTTCTCTTTGCCATTTAGTATTTTGTAAACCCTGATCGTGTGCCCCTCAAGCATCTCTTTTCTAAACAGAATAGGCCTGGCCTCTTTGGTCTCTCACCCCATGTAAACCCCTCCATACCACTAACCATCCCTGCTGCCCTTCTCAGGACTCCCCTCCTTCTTCCACATCTTTTCTGAGGTGTGGGAATTAGGACTGGGCTGGGCAATCAAGCTGTGGACTCACCACGGATTTAGAAAGGGGTACAACAACACTTTCTCACCGCTAGCATTCACCGTTCTGTTTCCAAAAGTGTACATCTCTTTTGGCAAAGCGTGGGCCATCTAGGCGTCAATTCTCTGGCATTTGCACTCCTGCCGTGCTGCTGGACGTGGCTGTAGCAAGTGCTTTCACCACCCCAAGGAGAAACCTCAGACACAGGGAGGACATAGATTTGCAGGGGTTGGCTTGTCAGCTGGCACATGCAGGCATATGTGTGTGTGTATATAGATGTATACAGTTAAATGTGCACAGGTCTATATCTATCTATCTACCTATATATATATATAAAAACATCTATATAATCTATACAAGCTATAGATCTATCTATATCAACATATCTATACCGATAGATCTATATACACACAGATAAACATAGAGATGCGTTTATATATCCGTATACAGGTAGATATGGATACAGATCTATGTATCGATACAGAAGTATATATTGTGCCTCGACACCCCCTAAACGACTCTCAGTCTAAGCCTCCCCTTCTCTGACCAGGACCTAACGCGGAGGCCGAGGGGAAGCGGCGCGGTCCCCTTGGCCCCGGGCCCGTCCCCGCCCCGGTCCTGGGGCGCGGCCGTTACCCCGAGGCTCGCGCGCGCGTGCGGGTGGGGGGTGGGGACTGCGTCACGGGCCGCCCCGCCCG